ATATATATATATGTACATACATACATATAATTAGATTTTATTATAGGTTTCTCTCCTTCCATGGATGCCTTATCATCATTATTATAGTGTTATGGTGGCTATTAGTAGTATATTATTGTGATATTTGTGTGTGTGTGTGTATATATATATATAATTAGATTTTATTATAGGTTTCTCTCCTTCCATAGATGCCCCATTTTAGCCTTATCAGCATTATTATATTGTTATTGTTGCTATTAGTATTATATTATTGTATGTGTGTATGTATATGTATATTATGGTTAATGTTTATATGTGAGTGTATGTATGTCTCTCTCTCTCTCTCTCTCTCTATATATATATATATATATTAGATTTTATTATAGGTTTCTCTCTTTCCATGGATGCCCCTTTTTTAGACTTATCATCATTATTATATTGTTATTGTTGCTATTTGTATTATATTATGATATTATTATTATGATGATATTTCGTGTATATATAACAACATTGATAACCCAGGAACAATAATCATGTAAAAATAAAACCAAAAATAGATGCCCTTGGTACCTCTTGCAAGCCCTGATTTGGCTTTGTTTCCTTGCAGGAGGAACTGCCGGGGGAACCCCAACTGCTTGGTGGGCATCGGGGAGCAGGCCTGGCTGGGAGAGATCGACGAGGACGCCTTCCACAACATCGAGGACCCAAATGCCGAGAGACGGAAAAAGGTTGCTCATCCCGGGGGGGGGGGGGGATTTGCATCCGCTTTAAGGGTAGATCCCCGAGTTGTGGACAGGTTTGACAATAGACCCAAAGTCCAACGTTACCTGCTACCGAGTCTCAGGAGGCATTTACAGATACAGGCAGCCCCCTAGTTAGATATATAGAAGAAGTAGATATGGGTATAGAAGATATAGATACACAGACAGAAGATGTAGATATAGAAGATTTAGTTATGGCTCTAGAAGATGTAGATATTGATATAGAAGATGTGGATACGGATATAGAAGAGGTAGGTATGGGTATGGAAGACGTAGATGTACAGATATACAGAAGATGTAGTTACAGATCAAGAAGATGTCGATGGCGTATGCAAGATGTCGATGGGGGTATTCAAGATGTCCATCTGCATATGCAAGATGTCGATGGACGTGTGGAAGATGCCGATACGGGTATGCAAGATGTCCATCTGAGTGTGCAAGATGCCGATGCGTGTGTGCAAGATGCGGATGCGCTTGTACAAGATGTCCATCGGCGTGTACAAGATGTCCATCGGCGTGTGCAAGATGTCCATCGGCGTGTGCAAGATGTCCATCGGCGTGTGCAAGATGTCCATCGGCGTGTGCAAGATGTCCATCGGCGTGTGCAAGATGCCGATGCGCGTGTGCAAGATGTCAATGCATGTGTGCAAGATGTTGCTCTGGGTGTGCAAGATGTCCATCAGCGTGTGCAAGATGCCGACGCGTGTGTGGAAGATATTGCTCTGGGTGTTCAAGATGCCGATGCGTGTGTGCAAGATGTTGCTCTGGGTGTGCAAGATGTCCATCGGCGTGTGCAAGATGCCGATGCGCGTGTGAAAGATGTTGCTCTTGATGTGGAAGATGCCAACAGGCGTTTGCAAGATGCTGATTGTGTGTGTAAGATGTTGCCCTGGAAGTGCAAGATGCCGATGCGTGTGTGCAAGATGTTGCTCTGGAAGTGCAAGATGCCGATGGGTGTGTGCAAGATGCGGATGCGCGTGTGCAAGATGCCGATGGGTGTGTGCAAAGTGTCCATCGATGTGTGCAAGATGCCAATGCGCATGTGCAAGATGTAGATATAGAAGATATTGTTGCAGGTATAGAAGATGTAGATATGGAAACCTAGATACCGATATAGAAGACCTAGATACTGGTATAGAAGACCTAGATATACATGTAAATGTAGAAGGTGTAGATAAAAAGACCCCTTCACAGGAGATAAAACAGGGTATAAGTGAATCTAGTAATAACTCTCACAACCCTACAGACTTGAGCCTTGGTGTTTAACGTGGGCCCAAACTGCATTAATTTTTTAGTGCAGATGCACCCTTTGACTCCCAAGGATTGAAACAGAATAATTAGGGGTCTCTCGCTATGGAAGTATCCTTGCCGTCGCAATGGGGTGCCTTTGCTTTCCTTTGGTGTCAGTGTGATGCATTGCGATCCCTTGCCGCCTCCCTTACCCCGCCTTCTCTTCCCTTCCCAGAATGCCTTTGTGGGCCTCACCAACCTGGGCGCCACCTGCTACGTCAATACCTTCCTCCAGATGTGGTTCCTGAACCTGGAGCTGCGGCAGGCACTCTACCTTTGCCCCAGCCCCCGCCCCAGCGGACCCACAGCCGCAGAGGGGCCCTCCGTCGGCACAGGTTGGTCCGGAGTGGGAGG